TAATCAATTGTCTGGCCTCGAGTAAATACTCAATAAATGTTGGTGGTGGTTGATGATATTGTTTAACTGTGGCATAAACAGGAGAAAAAGGAACCTGTGTCCAAAAACCAAGGGAAGGAAGGAACAGGAAGACAAGAGAGCAGTTGATAAATGATCATTTTACAAATGAAAATTCATGCAGCTCCTATGACTTTTCCAGTCATTTATTAAAACCAAACCATTCTCTGGTCACTTCTAATGAGAAAAGTGATCATAGTAATTTACTATGCTCACGTCTATATAACTTACAAAATTTCAGTCTTGCCTGAGAGTTAACATCTTCCCTCCCCTGCCTTGACTGTGCCTTTGGAAAGGGAAGTCCTGGGTTTCTCACTCTTCCTACTTAGGTGCCTCCCTTTCTCCTTCCTCATTTTGCTAACTTTTCTTGCTGCTGCAGGGTTAGAGCTCACAGAGGGAACGAGGTGCAGGAGATAAGAAAATCCTTACTTGACAAGGGCTGTTGGTGGCCCTTAAACCTGGCCCTTTTTCTAGTAGGTGCTTCTTTGGGGTTTTCTTATCTCTGGGAATTAACCTCTCTCTCTCTCTCTCTCTCTCTCTCTCTCTCTTTCTCAAAGCTTCCCTGAGAAAGGAATGCACTTGTGTTCTGCTTCTCTGTGACTGCTGCCACAGCCCCATAGGAGTCATTCACTGGTATACTCCTTGCTCCTTTTAGCACGACTCTATTTTTCTTGTGGGCGATCCCTTGAACAGGGCTTAAGACAGCTTTCTTTCTTGTATGCCTCTGATTTATCTAAGGCAGTTACTTTGCCTCCCCAAACTCAAAGGCTATGGGGTTACATTTTAAAGTCTCTGGGTGGTTCTCTGAAGCTCCTTGTCTCAGGCTTGAAGTGAGAGGCAGACAGTTCCTATAGCATGTTGATAACTTTCTCCAAAGACCTTCTCTTTGTCTTCAAGACTCTAACTCTTTTATGCCTTCAATATGAGTACATGATTGTAAGAATCATGTAACTATTTCTGCAACCCTTCCTTTGAAAAATTTGCATTATACTTCTGTATTTCACTTTGGAATATGTTTCTAGTGTTTGGGTACCTTAGGCAAAATGTCCTTCTTTTTTTTCTTTTTGAGAGACAGGGTCTTATTAGTCACCCAGGCTGGAGTGCAGTGGTACAATGTTAGCTCCCTGCAGCTTCAAACTCCTTGGCTCAAGTGATCTTCCTGCCTCAGCCTCCTGAGTAGCTGGGACTGCAGGCACACCCCCCACACCTGGCTAATTAAATTTTTTTTGTTTTGTTTTGTTTAAAGGCTGGTCTTTAACTTCTGGCCTCAAGGGATCCTGCTGCCTTGGCTTCCCGAAGCACTGGGACTGTGGACGTGAGCCACTGCACTGCCATGGCCAAAATGTGGTCTTTAGCACCATATTAAAGGTAAAAGGGAGGAATAAATCACTTTGTGGGTGCCTTGACTTTACAGACCATCATCCTGTGGGAGATGGGGGCTGCCGGGGAGAAGATCATTTACATACACAAGAATGGTAATTTTTTTTTTCTTTTTTTGAGACAAACTCTTGTTGCCCAGGCTGGAGTGCAATGGCCTGATCTCAGCTCACTGCAACCTCCATCTCCCAGGTTCAAGCAATTCTCCTGCCTCAGCCTCCTGAGTAGCTGAAACTATAGGCATGCATCATCATGCCCAGCTATTTTTTTGTATTCTTAGTAGAGACAGGGTTTCACCATGTTGGCCAAGCTTGTTTTGAACTCCTGACTTCAGGCGATCTACCCACCTTGGCCTCCCAAAGTGCTGGGATTACAGGTGTGAGCCACTGCGCCCAGTCAATTGTGACTTTTATGGTACTTGGTCTAATCACAAAATAGAGCTTTAAAGGTGAGTGATTTTTGGAATGATCACATTTAGTATTTTCCTCATAGGCAGAATTTTGAAAGAGTGCTTATCTGAGGGCTGATATATTATTGTTTTGGGAGCTAAAATGTGTTTAAAATATAACATAAAATATAACATAAATATAAAATATAAGTTGTAAGATGATTCCAGATTCCCATGTATATTGAAATACATCAGCCTTAAGACAAATTAAACAAAATGTACATGTATTTTGTTTAAATTGTTATTTTTTGCACTTCAGGCATAAATATTTTTAAATATGAAAACTCCCACATACACATATGTGTACAACTCAGCACATGTCAAAAATGCCTGTGACTGCCTTGCCATAGTTTAGGAGATGAATAGCCTGGCACAGTGGCTCACACCCATAATCCCAGCACTTTGGAAGACCTAGGCGGGCATATCACAAGGTCAGGAAATCGAGACCATCCTAGCCAACACAGTGAAATCCCATCTCTACTAAAATTAAAAAAAAAAAAATTAGGCATGCATGGTGGTGTGCGCCTGTAGTCCCAGCTGCTAGGGAGACTGAGGCAGTAGAAACGCTTGAACCTGGGAGATGGAGATTACAGTGAGCCGAGATCACACTGTTGCACTCCAGCCTGGGCAACAGAGCGAGACTCAGTCTCAAAAACAAAAAAGACATTCAACAAACTTAAATTTTTTTTTTTGGAAGGGGGAAGATGGAATCAAGGTTAACAGAAGAAAGTGCCTTTTAATTTTTGTATACTATTGTAATTTGTTTTACCTCTGGAAATTAGCATGTATCATTTTTTAAATTCAGAAAAATAAAGTCGGCATTTAAAAATGGTATATCTCTTTGATGTATTTAATGAAGTACAGTACTGACCATGATAACATATTAGGTGAAAAAGAGCAAGGTATAAAACATATATGCAATCCGACTCTGATTTGGGTAAAATGCAATTAGTTCGAAGACTATGGGGAAGACACATCAAAATGTTAGCTATGGCTGTGCACAGTGGCTCACGCCTGTAATCCCAGCACTTTGGGAGGCCAAGAAGGGCAGATCAGGTGAGGTCAGGAGTTTGAGACCAGCCTGACCAACATGGTGAAATCCTGTCTCTACTAAAAATATAAAAATTAGCCAGGTGTGGTGGTGCATGCCTATAGTCCCTGCTGCTTAGGAGGCTGAGGCAGGAGAATCACTTGAACCCAGGAGGTAGAGGTTGCAGAGAGCTCAGATTGTGCCACTGCATGAGTATTTTACCATTAGCAAAATAGAGAAAAAATGATCAGAAGAGAGACTCTTGCAGTTCTATTGGGCTTTCAGTTCTTTGGGCTTTTCTAATGTTTAAGTCCCTTTTACTTTAGGTGCTAATGAAAAATTTATTTTCCAAATAATAATGCCTCATCTCTCTAAGGAACGAGGGATATAAAAACTGCTTTTTGATTTTAAAACTCTGAACGCTACAAAGATATATAAATAATGCTGTTTGTTTCTTTATTTTTCCACCCTGTTCTAGGATTTGGTCCTAAAATGAAAGAGTTTAAAAAAATAACATGTAGATTCCTGACATTCTTTCCTAACCAGAATCGTGTCTAACTCCTAATATGAAATTCTTCCTCAAAATATATACTAACTCCCTTTCGTTTTTTATTTGATGGCTTCCAGCCTATTTTTTTCTCAAAAAAAACCAAAAAAACACACAACAAACTGGTGTTATCTTCCTAATTCCCTTCTTTTAAAAATACGGATGTGTGATTTGTAAATAAATGTGTTGACTTGCAGAATATGAGCTTATGTGACATTGAGCAAGTGACATGAAGTGTTCTACTTTTTATTAGTAAAAAAAAAGTGAATATTAAAAAAGAAAAGCTGATAGGTCTAAAATGGGTTAATAAGCATTTTAAAGATTTATAAAGTTATTTGAAACATATAAGTCATTATTGTGTTATTGATATTTTTCTATTAGTCAAGCACACTTTTTCTGTCTTTTGGAATATGGTCTATTTTGGTCAGCCAGTATTCTCTGAGTGACTCAACACAGTACCATTGGAGGATTTCTCTAGTTTAACTTAGCAGTAATTACCTTAGATGGAAATAAAACACTTCAGTCTTGATCAGCAGGAATAAGTTTAACTCTCTAGAGGTTGATAGGCTCTAGAACATTCCAAGTATGAGGAGAAAGTTTGAAAGATAAAATGTGCTTGTATGTTGTAATATGCACACATAAGTGACTTTGAAAACTGATAAGAAACTTTTTAATAATTTAAAATAATACAAAGGTTTTTTTCTTAAAGAGTGAATACATATAGCAATGGCAGCACTATGGAAGTGTTATTACATTTTAGTTATATTTGTCATTTTTGGATCATATGACAATTCTAAGTGATACTGTTTTCTACCTAAACTATTACTTAAGTAGGGTAAAATTAAAAGTCATCTTTGAATTTTCTCTGGGTTTTAATTTATCAGTTCTGATCATGTAGCAACACAGACAAAAAGACTATAAAGGAATGTGTGCGTGTGTGTATGTGTATATACGTTTTCCCTTTCCTGGTGTGACTGGGTCTGATTTGTGTTCTTTAGTTACCTTGAACAGTTCTAAATGCTCAGATAAATTACAAGAGAAAAGGAGCAAAGTACTAACAGCTCTCCAAGGTACTAAATTCTGTTTCCTGTATTCCCAACGTGGGTCATGTTTTTTCACCTGAAAATATTGACGACTATAACAGAAAACAATAAGGAAAGACATTTTATTAGGCAATATGCAAATTAATCTCCTGGTAATATATCCATTATGAAAACATACTAGGAAAATAATTCTATTAGAAAAAAATGGGTTAAATATTATGACAAAATTGTTCAGAAAGTGAAAGGAAACCAGTATTTATTGTTCTAGGCAGATTATGGAAATATATATTGATATACATATATCAGTGTGTGTGTGTATATACAGACACACATATATATGTGTATATGTATATACATGTATAATTGAATATGTATGTATATATATTGATATATATATACACACATAATATATATTGTGTATATATTGAAATGTACATATGAATACATTGTATATATACACACATTATACATATATTGAGATGTACACATAAATAATATATGTATATATCAATATGAACACATATATAATTGATGTGTATAATTATATACATATGATAAATATACACACACACACACACACACAAATTACCTTGTTATCAAATATTACCTGTTTAATATGTGAAGAAAGACAGTATTTGAGGCAGCATCTGTGGTAATCCATCTAATTCTAAGGACCGTATTCTTTGTAGCGTTATCAAGCTGTCTTTGCAGGAGTGATGGGGCAGGGAATATGTCATAAATGTTAAAAGGTTGTGAGATAGACTCTTTCTTGTGCAGCTATGTTAACATTTTTTGTCTAGCTTTTATAACATGCATTGCCTTATCGGATCAAGTTTGCTTCCTAGATCTCAGAAGTTGCCCTCAGTCCTCAGGTCAGCCTCAGAAAGTGACATGTTGTGGTTCCTACGATTGACTGCTTTGGTTTATATCCCTGGCTTTGCCTCTGGGTGTAGGGGGCCAGCCACGGGACCAACTGAGCCTACTTAGTATCTTCTATACTAAGTTACACTGAAGCTCTTGCTCTGCCTCTCTATCTTTGCTCCCCATTCCAGAGGAGATGTTTTTTGAACAAAAGGCTTTATCTCTAAAAATAGTTTGAAAAACAGGGTATCACATAGTCCTTAAGATATTTTCTAGTTCTAACTTTCTGTGAAGTTATAAAAGCAATTTTAAAGAATGGATCCCGCTATATTGACTTTAAAATATCATCCTTTAAATTTGCTTCAAAATATTTTTAAATTGGGAATTTCAGAAAGAGCCTCCAAGAGCAAAATCCACGTTAAAAATCTATGACTGAGTACTTTGAAATGGCAAAGTATGAGGCAAACTGCATGGTTTTTATTTTATTAGGCAGAAAATGTATAATTAAATTTCTTCATGATCCTAATTTTTAAAAACATGTTTTCAGCAGGGCGCGGTGGCTCACATCTGTAACCCAGCACTTTGGGAGGAAAAGACGAGTGCACCACTTGAGGTCAGGAGTTCAAGACCAGCCTG